ACGTGTTTGAAGAGTATTTTATTAATCATCTCAGCCAGTCATAATCAAAGAGCACAACTATCCATTTTATAATTCCTGCATCAGTACCTTCAGAACTATGAATTCTTTTTTTTCAATTGGAATCAGGTCCTCCACCCTTTTAAAAAGTTTAAATTAATGATTTAAAATGGTGTGTTCAACAACAGAAACCATCTATAGAAAAAACTAAAACACAAAAAAGTACAAATATTACCACACAACTGATCTCAGAAAATTACATTAAAACCCATATTTTATTGTAAGTATAGCAATACCATTTACATATTAAATAACACTATAATAGAATGCTTTGATATAAGGAACAAAACAAATCCATAATTAAATCCATAGTCTTATTTCTTGTTACAAAAGAGGAAGGAACTTTCCAAAACGGGCCAATGGTGAGAAAATGATCCAGAGGAAAATAACTGAAAACAAAATGAAAGGGCATAACATCATAATAATACAGTGCCCCGACATTAATGAAGGGCGTGAATATGACAACTGGCATGTCATGACGACCACAAGCTGGACTCACAGACACCTGGCTTCCACTCGACTCACCACAGTCGATGCTATGAGTGGCTCCAGTGGAAAGTAAAGATTTAGAAAAATTGTGATACAGACCAGGTGAATGTCAGACTATAAAACCCTGTCAGAGCCTTGTCAGGGAATGTTACATCAATAAATGGTAAAAAAATAAAAATAAAGCTTGGAGAAAAATAATCATAGACAAAAGAGAAATACAGAAAGTTTGAATGACATAATTTAAAATGTGATCAAATACAAACATAGTCTCCAGAGAGGATATGAGTTATGGAGTCAACGAAATATTTGTACATTTATTATGACAGCGCAGCTTTGTGTGCGCTTGTGGCACTATTTAACATGTTTAATTCGGAATGATCACAATGATCAAAATGGCTTGAATATGGTGAATGGGAAACTGAATAACCATCTTAAGGTCCGGTCACACCATCATTTACAACAGCAACATATTTTAAATATGTTCATTTTACTTGATCAGTACATTCGACATGCTCATCCATGCTGTTAAGCAACGGCCTAATCTGTCAACAGTGCTTAACTTTGAGGTATTGAAGATTCAAGGAGTTCAAAATGAAGGGCCAATATCATATTTGCTGTGATAGAACATCCAATTTGATTCACACTACTCTGACAACCCATGGTGTCAAATCAGTCTGGCGTGGATAGTATTTGCTTGACTTAAACACTTTATATTATTGTCCTGATCACAACTGCCAAATATTGCTAGCTTCTTTTTCTGTCCAGCAGTAGCACTGCTATTGGCTAGCTGACAGTAGCTCATGGTAGCTTTTCAAGGATTTGCAAATGAATGTTGCTGTGCCACTTTCTGGTATGACTGAACACTTTTGATAGGCAGTGTGTGTACTTAAAAATAAAGAAAAGCCCCAAAAGCAGTAAATGTTTAGTTGATGTCTCCATTAAGACAGTGAGTTTTGCTCATATAGCCCCCATTTCAAAAGGAGGTAACACTGCAAAAGAACCAGGAAAATAAATATCTCTATACCCCAAACAGTTGTGTAACAGTAACTACATGACTATGATGCTGAAGTTAAAGCAAACAGATATTGAAGTGAGACTATGAAGCATAATTTCATCAGGACACTGATACAAATACAGATATAGTGTGAGGTGTAAGAAGGTGAAGCGAGCATTCAGTCAGGAGAGAGAAGTCGGCAGAAGGAGAGAAGATTGCTAAACCTCTTTTTCTGCACGGGAAGGAGTCATGTCTTTGGTAAAAGTTTTTCTTTGAATCAAAATACATTTCCCCCCCTCACATTTGACACATCTGTTTTGTGCTGTGTGAAAAAAACACTTTAACATTTTCACTTGGAATGCAAAGCCACAAGTGTTAATTTAACGCCATGGACGGTACAGAATATCAGCGGCTAAATTAGAACATCCTCTTGTCAAAGAAATGTGGAACTGAGAGGAAATATGAGTGTAAGTGTGCATGTAAGGGGTTACTGCAGCTTAATCAGAACACATTTATTGTAGGCCACAAAACCACAAAAAAATACATCTCTGGAGAAAAGGGAGTGAGGAACGGAAACTATGTACACAAGGCTTTGGAGGTTGGAGCGGGTGATCAAACCTCTGTCAGCGAGCACGGATATGAAACGGACCTTCACCTATTCTGTATTCTTTAAATGCAGGTTTGGCTAGTTACTTGCTTAAATAACAGATAGTGGAAACACATTGTTGGTGAGCACTGGATTTCCAGTTTGTGATACATAGAAAATGATCCTCTCAGGTCTGTATGCAATAGCAATCGAATAAAAATTCCTGGGTTTTAATCACATAGTGGATTATCTTGTCTAAGTACTCTTGATAAGAAAATGTGTGAGTTAAGAAAACTCAAGCTTTTGTTTGTGTGTATATGGCTGGGTAATAAAAAGGGCAACAGTTTGTCATGCCAGATGGTCAATAAGAAGTCTTAGTAGGCTGCTTATATCATTATTATTTTTGAAATGCAAAACTTTAAGGTTAGAATATTTAATGTATTCTATTTGTACTAACTTGATTTAAGACACAATAGCATTAGTTGTTGATTTGCATTGTCCCTATCAAATATAATAAGTGAAAAAAAAGCTGTTACAGGCCGTGTGGATGGAAGATGAGAAGTTCAAATTAATTTAAATTAAGTCAAGATTAGACAAGTGGAATCTAAAAGCATGTTGCTTCAGCTCTTCATAACCCTAAATGTAGCAGCTGATTGTGATTGATCAGAAAATAATTCACAAAAACAGTTATGGTAGTCTGGCTAAAGGCTTCCGATTTGTGAATTAAGGAATATCTATTCAAATGTATAGTCAGATTGTTCTGTCTTGTGTGGTTATCACATATGTATGTTAAGAACCTTTAAAGCAGAAGAATGTCCATTCAGATGTCCTGAGTGCAAATAAAATGTAAAGATTAAAACGATTAAATCACCTAAATCTGCAGCGGTGAGACTTCAGTAAAATCTGGACTGGTCTAACACTGAAAATCCTAAGACTGTTTTAAACCCTGATTCAGATATCTTAAGGTCCTTACACACCAAACTGACACCAAAGAACACCAAAGAACACGTCCCGACGGAACGTCGCCTCACGTCTCTGCGTCTTGGCCATGTTTCGCACTGGAACACACCGCAAAGACTTCAGCCGACGGCCAAGTAGCACGGACGAACTGCGCATGCGTGAGTGGCAATAACTCTCCTTACCAGCAGGCGGCGGTAGTGTATATTCGTCATTCAAAAGAGGCAACAACCGGAAGACAGACTGCGTGATAACCGAGAGAAGAAGAACAGACTGCGTGATATAAACAAACAACAAATAGCGTGTGCGTTCCATTTTCACTCTACAGCGAGAAGCTCATGGGGCTTTCCCGAACCTGTGTCGAAGCTGGAGTTAAATGAAATCTCAGATTTGCCTTCTTAATAGTTTGTTTGGGTCCCTCACTTCCGTTTAGCTTCTCATGCACTGATTCGCTAAGCTGAACAGCCAATCAGAGTGATTTCTTTGGCCGACAGCCTCCCGATTCAACATGTCGAATCGGCGGCGGAAGGTGTCGGCACGGCCGAAAAGACACGACGGTGCAGTACACACCAAGACACACCAATCTGAGTAGGGCGACACGACGCTCATCGACGGCCCGACATCTATCGACGCCGAAAATCGGCTTGGTGAGTAAGGACCTTTAAACCTAACCTGTTTGTTGCATAGAGCTTGTTTTCAAGTCTCCTGTCCCCTGCACATCAAACTGATTCAACCCTGTAAAACTAAACACAGGAACATGTGAGGAACTGAGGGTCTCTGTGGTCTCAATCCGTGCTTGTCTGTCAGAATGAATTGATGAAAATAGAAATTATTTTCAAAGAGATGGGAATCATTGCATTATCTGTTCCAAATGTGAAATAATGTGTGTTCTATGTGTTTGATTTCCGATGAGATAGCAGCATACAAGAAGGTAGAGGACCGAGAGAGTCCGCTTCCAGAGGGCTGTGATCAGCTGTGAGAACCGGAGTGGTAAACTATCAGACGAGGTGGAAATCAACTGGCCTGAGGCGGGAGGCCACAAAGGACATGTACAAAAATCACCAAGTTATTATGATAAGGATATATTTGTATATGTATACATACAGTATTTCCATATATTAAAAAGCATAATATGAATTATACAAATAAATTATAATAACATTTCACAGTAGCAGTTATTACACCACCTTAGGTTGATTAACATGAGTGGGACTGGATAATAAAAGGGAAAGTGAGAAGAAAACCAGGCAAAAACAAACAAACGGTGAAGAGCAAAGCAACTTTTAAAAACAAGTGCGACTTGTCTGTGGTCGGAGGTTCCAAGATCTTGGTTCTTGTGGTAAATAAATGGTGATATGAGTCGAGTGGATAAGGAGGGCGGAGGAGGTCACGCTGAGCTTTGTGTCACTGAGGCGGACAGTCTGTGCCTTCCTCCGTCCGCAGACTTTAAACCAACTGGCAGAACAATGTCCTTCACAGAAGCAGTTGATTTGATACGGGCCAAAGCAATGGAATGTACAAATAAATCAGAGCTCGAGTGGAGAAAAGCCAAGTGAGTCAGCTTTAGTATAGGCAGTAACACTGACATTATATAGTGCAAACAAGAAAAGACAGAAAAAGTGTTTCCCGTTGCCTAACGACGCTGTGGTGAAACTCAAAAACTGGGGTGCAAACCCTTCAATAGGAGAACATTAAGACATAAAATGGCGAAAAAAATAAATATCAAAAACTTTGTATCAGTGTAAAAAAGTAATCAGGTTATTCATTTTAACCAAGAGTCTGGCAAAAAGGCCTCAAAAAGTCTTGCTCACAATAGTTCCTTGACGTTTTACAAAGATAAGTGCCTCCATTGTGGGCTCAGGGACCCACAAGAGGCCCCCCAGGGCAACTAAGCTTCGGGCCCCCAAAGGGCCGCTCTCAGACCAGTGACTCCATGCTCTCTGCCTGGTCAGACTGGTCCGACATGGACCCCAGGGTCCCATTAATGTCCCTGTCCAGAGTACACAGGCTGTTTTCCTTGGTGCTGTCGAGGCTGAGCAGAGCTTTGTATAGGTACTGGTACTGGTTCTGTTGGGGGGGGAGGACAGGAAATACAATTAGCCACATCCTGTAGTCATACTGCAGCTGGAGGTTTGCTTCATGAGAATGTAAAGCGGCCCTTAGCCTTGATTCTGTCTGTCAGAGATCCTGTTTTCTCCTTCTCAGCATAATCCTAGCAAACGGCTAAGTGGATTTCAAAGACCATCAACCGCTCAGCTCTGCCAGTATGGAAACTTTGCTCAGTTTCATGCTAATTCATGTAAAAATAATCCAACCTGGTGAGGTAATCAAACATATTTTCACTCTGCATTGTTGTTTGTGAGCTGCACAGCTTGTCACACATATTTATTTTTCCACTTAAATGATGTACTTACAATTCTTTGGAACAATATGCATTATCCCATAAGGGCATTGTAAAGGAACAGTCTGGGCTTCGCCTGGTAAAGCGGTAGATTTGAGTTTGTTCTGGTTTAAGTTGATTATGATTATTATTAAAGTGTGAATTAATGATGCATGGGGGTGGGGCCTGTCACCTTTGGATTCCTAAATCAAGTTGTTTATGATGTGCACCAACATCTCATTTAATAGACTATGCTGTTATTTTCTGGGTTCCACCATCATTGATCATTTCAATAGTTTATAATTACTAATCTCTAAGGAAATGTTTAATTTCCTAAGAATTTACAATTAGGTATTTCAGACTCACAATGTCTGTGAAGACTCCGGGCCTCATGAGGTTGATCATCTTGGCCACCTGGTAGACGTCGGCGCCCCCCTCGCTCTCCAGCTGCTGGGACAGAGTGGTGAGGGCGCACAGCGTGCCGGCCGACGCTGCTCCCACCCTGAGGAACACAAACCAGCGTTAGCATGCAGCTCCTAATATGATAAATAACATGTCCTATACTAAGTCTGTAATAAAAAACGTCATATATGTCTTTACATTTGTTCCTGAGCCAGTGGCGCCAGCAGGGGGGGGCCATGGCCACCCTGATATATTTGTTGGCCCCCCCACTGGCCACCCCACCACACACAACCCCTCGCCAGTCACGTATGCGTAGTAGTTTATCTGATATTTAACAACAAATACACAGCCAGCGAGTCGCTTGATTTGAACTTCCAACGCTCATACTGCAGCCCCTCCCTCTCCCACTGCTACCATGGTAACACTCTGATACTCGGCGCACCACTCTGAGATTCGCACAGACAGCAGCAGGTTGTAGCAAAACGTGTGTTTCTTTCTACTGACTGGACTGGAGTTGACAAAAATCCACCAGACTTCTAGAAGTCGTATACGTTCGTTGTTAATAAAAAGGAGCTGTGGGAGTACTTATTCATAAATCACCTAACACATGTATACATAACACAAAACAAGGTTCTTTTAAATGTTGTTTGAAGTTAAATGTTAACTATCCGTATTATATTCACTTCAGATGAATAGTATCAGAAAATGTCAAATAAGAAACCAAAGTATATCAGTAGGTGGTTCTCTTTGCCATTGTTTTCATCCAGTCTATACTTTTACAACAATTAAATTGTTGGTATTGGTGCATAGCCGCGGGAAGTAGGGGTGCTGGGGGTGCCGGTTAGAATCTGGAGAATCACAGAACGACCGCTCGGTTCGCTCACGGCCGGCACCGCCCTTAATGTGTTTTTAAACGGCATCATTGAAGTTGCGCTGACAGGCGACAGAGGTCCACCGTGTCCCCGCAGCGAGGCTACCCCCCCCCCCCCCCCCCCCGTTGACAGTTCACTAGCACCCCCCCCCGTTGACAATTCGCCGCACCCCCTAAGTAAAATGACTTAGGGGGTGTCATGAATATCATGACATCCCCTATGTGCCACCCCAAGATTTTCAGTGGCCCCATTTGGCCACCCTTATGAACAATTTCTGGAGGCGCCACTGTCCTGAGCTTATCGTGTTTAAAATCCTTGCAATGTTTCATCTGTGTACAGCTGACATATTCCTAGGAGGGTATATTAAAAATGTAATTAAAATGCAAAAAGTCCATATTCCATGAGTCCATTTATAGATAGGAAGTATACCTGAGAAAACCTGCTTCCTGTAGCTACATTCATGTAATCTAAAGGCTTTTCCACATCTAGTGGTTTACATCCTCGTCAGCAGTTGGTGCCTTCACTGAGACAAGCTATAAAACACCTATTGTTGTGGTGCTGAAAACAATAGTAATATGCATTTAGAAAAGCTTGTAATGGCCATAAAGTTTCAAGTTTTTTATAGACGACAAGCCAATCCCAGATAATGACCGTTGTCATTTAATTACTTTGAACTCTCTTTATAAACTTGAAGATGAGATGTCCTTGAAAGCAGCTCAGCCAGGGAGTGAAGCCCCTCACAGATCAGGCCTGTTAGCTGTGACATTAGACCTTTATTAGCGAGAGAATCCACCTGAGGACGACAGAGAATGTGTCTCCCTGGGGCTGGGGTCTGCAACCTTTTTGATCAAAAGAGACATTTTGCCCCCTTTTCCACCAATTTTTTTTTTCTGGAGCTGCAAAACATATTTGATAGCTTGATAGCTTATAAAGTTGTATATATTGTTACATCATAGACAAAAACTACAGTTTCTTTGCATTTATAATTTATTACATTATAGAAAACTGTTTACCTCTAATAATTAACCAGTTAAACAAAGAACTCTTATAAGGAGAATTAAAAAACAATACACAGGCCTATTTTAAAATAAATCAACACAGCACTTGGGGAGTCCTCTGCACATTTGAAGAAAATGAATATAATTAAAATGGGCCCACTTTGAAATAAATAAAACCTATAGCTGCACCCTAAAAAGAGTTAACTGATTGAATTATGACTGCAGATCGTCAGCTGTCTTCCTCTTCCGTGTTTCTCCTCCAATGCGTAAAGGCTGCAGCACCTTTGACAACTTCTCTCTACATATCAAACATACCGGTAAGCCAGCATCGTTTGCTGTGAAAGCAGATAACCAGGGGTGCACATAACTTTCTCAGATGAGTACCTGGAGTCAGTGTTTGGTACTCCAACTTCTGGCTCCGCTCAAAGTTATTTGATGAAGCCCTCTGTATCGCGAACGTCAACGGGGGGGGGGTCACTCTCGTGACCACAGAGCGTGAACGTTGTGATCAGCTGTTTTAGCGCAGTTCTCCAGTGAAGGGGGGGAGTCTCCCTCCGCAGCCGGTTGGCGTAGTTTTGGCACAATTCCGCTGTACAGACCGACGTTAACAGCAGCCCTGTCTGTGCACACGGAGACCGACTCTGTCGGCCGGTGATCTAACCGCCTTCTGGAAAAGCTTCACAAGTACGTCGGTACGCAAATGCGCTTTGTGACACAAGTGACGGTACGCATTTCAGATTGTTGCCGCGCATGCGTACCTGCGTACCAGTTATGTGCACCCCTGCATATAACTCTAACCACGCAGAATTAAACCCTCTGTGTTCCTTCCATACTTTTATTTTCTTTGATTTATCCATAGTTCGCTCATCGAGCCGGGGGTCAGGTTATTCGCCTGCAAGAAAAGGCGCTGGTGCGGGACCGTAGCAGGATGTGACGCATATTTTAGTTGACCTAATTAAAACCGTTTTTAAAAAAAAATGATGTGTCACAGTATCACCTCAAAATACAAGATACGAAACATTTTCAACCGTGCAACATAATATAAATAATCCTACAAATATTTTTATTTTATTTCCTTCTTATTTTGTTAGCTAAGGGAGCCAGAGTAGAGGGCTTAAAGAGCCGCATGCGGCTCGAGAGCCGCGGGTTGCCGACCCCTGCCCTGGGGGAACGCCGGGTTTCCTTCACAATGTAAAGGGTCTCTCTTCCATTAGCAGCCCTGTCAGGAGCGCAGCAGAGAGCTGCTAACAACCATGCCTGGCTGAGTAATGAGCTGCAGACAATTAGGACGCGCCTCTAACTGACAATCTGCAAGCTGGCTGCACCATGGCAACCAGATGAAGTGCTCAATTAGTCTCTTCTTGAGGATGCGACGAGCAGTCTTCATTATTCTAATGAATAAACATGAGCAGAGCTGCTGGATAAGAGTGTCCTTCAAGCACACTAATGTGTGTCAATACTAAAGACACTTTCATTACGTTTAATTGGGAAGTTTCTTGGGGTACCTGTGTTGGGAGTCTGGGGGTTGGAGGGTTGTCACTGGATGTTTAGAAGTGAAACAACATGTGTCCTAACTAAACCTGCAGGACAGTCAGGCTGACGAAGTCTCTGTATGCCTGGGGGGCCATTATGTTTTTATCCACATCATTCACATCATCAACTTTGTTCACAAAATAAATAAACTTGGGAGTGCCAACCAGAGATGTAATTAATATTGGGGTTAACAACAACAACATGATCTACAATACAAATGTTATTAAATAATATGGGAGCAGTAAATAACTCCTGCAGTGATGTATTTTAAATCTTTCAGCAAAGATACAGTTATCTGTCAACATCATACCTGAAATTACATCTGGGTTTAGAAACCCAATACTTTCTAGAGCACCTGCCAAAATGTCACTCAGTATTATTCTCCCCTTGTCCTAAACTTTCAGACAGACAGAATATAAATGTATATTAAATGTAGGACTCACTCATCATGGACGATGGTGGGCCCGTCGCGGGTGGACGCCTCCTCTTTAATGACGTTGATGAGCTCAAAGGTGCTGCTGAGGGGGGCGTCCGGCTTTGGCCACTTGGGACACTGAAAGTGACGAACTTCTAAAACATAGTCATCCTAATGAACAAACAGAAAAACAGCAAGAGAGATACATTTAGACTCAACCTATGGATGTACAACTCATTATGTTACACAAGCTTTGACTAACAATGTAAGGGAGATCTTCTGTGTTTCTCAAAGGGCCGCACAAGTTTTGTTAACACTGAAAACCAATCATTCATAGATACATTGTTGCTTGTTGGGGGTTTATTGGTACTTTAGGAAGGTGTCTGATGCCCCTTTTCCACCAAACCGGTTCCAGAGCCGCAGTTTCAGGACCGCAGTCCTGGGACCCTAGTTTTTCGTGACACTGCCACCTAGCGAGTAGGATACATGAATATGAACGACAACGACAACATAGTGTGCACAGAGTGTGAGTAATGTGAAGTGCTTTTAAAGTTTTATTTGTTTAACATTAATAACAATTCTGGTGTCTTGAAATGAAGTGTGATTAGCTAACGTTAACAATGATAGTCTTAAGGCAATACAAACAATAATCTGTTAGCTTATGATAGCTTCTAACCGTATTAAAGGCACTAAAAACAATTATTCGTTTGCTACTGTATAGCTTTCGGCAAAAATAAACTGTTAGCATATTTGATTATTTGTTTAATGAAACTGTAGCGTGATTTTGGCAAGCCCAACTAGGTGTCCTACATTAATTGTTGATTTAATCACTAATTACAGTAAGAGTGTGAGTAATGTGAATCGTGTTGTTTGTTTAAAGTTAACAACTATTCTGGTGTATTGAGTCATCTGTTAGCCTATGATGATGACTCGCTGCAAAACCAACTGTTAGCCTTTTTGTTCATTTGTTTAATGAAACCGGGTGCTTTCAATGCGACCATCTTTTTAAGGACGTTGGCACAGGCTACCGGGGAAGTGGACGGCGAGGAATCTTGGTGGGTTTTTACTCCGAAGAGGGCTTCTTCCCGGGGTACTGCAGCTGGAGCTGTTTTCTGGTGGCTGAGGGAACAACAGACCCCGCCTCACCCCAGTGAAGAATCCTCAGTGTCCTCTCCACTTTCAGAGGAAGGGTCAGAGGAACTCAAAGACATGCTGGACTCCAGAGGTCATTCCGTGTTAAGGAAATTGTGCCCGTCTTCTAAATAAATAAAAATGTATTCTGCACTGAAATGCCTCTTGGTCAAACTGCATGTTTATCTTTGGCAGCCAAGGTGCATAAACACACTAAGAGTTGTTTTGGTTTTTGAGTAATCAAGCACCTCTTCAAAGACACATTTGATTTGATTTGATTTATTTTGAACGTGTAATACAATAAAAAAAAGTGTTTATAATAATAATAATGAAATGAAACAAGAGAATTATGATACTGTACAAACGTAAGCAGTATCAAATTGATAAGCTAAATATTATTGACTTACAAATGATATATAAACAAATGATCTACCTAATTACACATCCGAAAAGGCGTGGGAAGGAGTTTACACGTATTTAACCCCACCCCTTCTCCCAAAAACTAAATTCATATTTTTGTTTCCATTTAACAAAATATACATCTAAATGTATGTCTACATACTATATACATTTACAATTATAAATAGATTATATCATTCTTACTACAATATATATATATATATTTACGTTGTATGTCAAATTTGATAAGACAAATATAAAAGACTATCTTTTTACATCTGACATACACAATAGATTTGTTATTAAAAAACAAAAACATAATAACAACAAATTGTTGTTAATAATAATAATTTAATTTCTGTAAGAAAATCATATTTTCATGCATTTTTAGATCGTTAATAATAATAATAATAGATTTATTTTGTTAGCGCTTTTACAGGTGCTCAAAGACGCTTTACAGATATAGTGAAAAGAAAAGAACAACAAATAAATATATATAGTTAAAGTTAAAGTTAAATAATACAATACAATACAATACAGTGTTTTGAAGGTGGTGAGGTCAGTGCAGTCTCTGATGGGTTGTGGGAGTGAGTTCCAGAGGGAGGGGGCAGCGACGGAGAAGGCTCTGTCCCCCCAGGTCCGGTGCTTGATGCCGGTGGGGATGGATAGGAGGTTGGCTTCTGATGAGCGGAGGCAGGGGAAGGGGTGTGGTGGTGCAGCAGGTCTGTGAGGTAGGGGGGGGGGCTGATTGTTGAGGGCTTTGTAAGTAATCAGGAGGACTTTGAAGTCGACTCTTTGACGGACGGGGAGCTAGTGGAGGTTCTGGAGGACAGGAGTGATGTGGTCTCGGGAGCGGGTGTGGGTGAGGAGGCGGGCAGCAGAGTTCTGGATATGTTGGAGTTTATTGAGGAGGTTGGATGGTATGCCGTAGAGGATGCTATTGCAGTAGTGGAGTTGTGATGTGATGAATGCATGAATCAGGGTTTCAGCAGCAGAGGAGGAGAGTGATGGGCAGAGACGGGCAATGTTTTTGAGGTGGAAAAAGGCAGTCCTGGTGATGTGATTGATGTGGTGATTGAATTTGAGCTGACTGTAGAAGATGACTCCGAGGTTGCGGATGTGGGGGGGGGGGGGGGGATAGAGTGTTGCTGTCAATGGTGAAGTTGAAATTCTGGATGGCTTTGGTACGGGATGGGGGGCCGATGATGATGATGTCTGATTTGGCACTGTTCAGTTGGAGATAGTTTGTTTGCATCCATGCTTTTATGGAGAGACAGTTGGTGAGAGTGGAGTGTGTTGTGGGGGTGATGGTTTTTGCTGAGATATAAAGTTGGATGTCATCGGCGTAGCAGTGAAATTGAAGGTTGTGGCGACGAATGATATTGCCAAGGGGGAGCATGTAGAGGATGAAGAGGAGGGGGCCAAGCACCGGACCCTGGGGGACGCCTTGGGACAGAGGGGCAGTGGAGGAGGTGCAGTTGTTGATGTTGAATAACAAGCATTACAATGTCTAAAGAGACTCGCTGTGTATGAGACTCAATACTCGCTGGTTGTACTTTTGCGGGCATCCAATTCCCTAGGTGGCGATGTTGCAAAACAACTAGGGTCCTATGAGTGCGGTCCTGAAACTGCAGTCTACGACGCTGCAGCTTCATACTATTGCTGGCTCTTCCTGTTTCCACCGCAGCGGAGCCGCCTCTAAGCACCGAAAACCGGTTCTTAGCTGGCCCCACTCGGCTGCCCGGCAAGAACCAAGAACCAGGAACCAATACTTCACGCTTATGTCAGAGGCGGGGGGTGAGATCAACCTGAGCAATAACAGTTCATGGCGAGTACGGCAAATGAAAGTAACAAGCAGTAGCGCTGAGCAAACTGCTTGTTTGACAGTCAGAAAGTGAATACTTTCCAGCGGACCCTGCCGTGAGTTAACGGGAGAATAAACCCTGCCGTGAGTTAACGGGTGAATAAACCCTGCCGTGAGTTAACGGGAGAATAAACTCTGCCGTGAGTTAACGGGAGAATAAACTCTGCCGTGAGTTAACGGGAGAATAAACTCTGCCGTGAGTTAACGGGAGAATAAACTCTGCCGTGAGTTCTGGTGGACGAGCAGCACTGCAGTATCTGAGTTTGGTTCCAGTCCATTAATCAGTCATGTCTTTACAAGAGAAATTATTTTCTACAGAGTGCATTCTGTAATTTGAAGTTAGATATTGGCTACAATGTTGGTGTGATAATAATATAATATATAGTTTTACCTTTTCAAAATAGAAACCTATTCAATTAATTTCATTTATTTAAAAGGTATCACAATTTCTGTAAATGTGAAAATGCTGGCCAGCATGCTAATATTGCTATGCTATGCAAAGTTTTGCTTGAAAAGTGATTGACTAAATGAAGTAGAAATAACCTGAGAACCCATGATGATCTAAACTTTTAGTAAACTTAAATGTGGTATAAATGAAAGGTGTAGCTCTGTGTTAAATATTAATTATTTTTTTTCAGAGGTTCACACTAGTTTTCACCTTGCTTTGTTATATCACAATTATATTTTTTTCTTAGAACTAGCTAAATATTGGGACTGGGGGAAAGATCTTCAGGATTGGTTTGGCAGGAGCTGTATCACTTCGTTGCTGCAGCAAATGTCTTTCTCAATTCTCCAGACGTAAATCTTCAGTGTCTGACATCAGTTCAGCTCTCCAGTGTTCTGCTTGTGATCCAAAAGTTCCCTTACACTAGTGTTCAGTAAACAGAAAGGAAGTTAAGGAGGTTTCAGTTCAAGCTGATGTACTCTCTGTGCACACATTATTACATTCTACATTAACAACATGGTGGAGCACATGAGTAATGCTGTGTGCATGAAACCATTCTTCTGTTCTACCCTATTAGTGTGTTTTGTTCTCATACTGTACTGTCTGTACAGCTCAATTCCAGTCTCTCTGACACGCACGCACGCACGCACGCACGCACGCACGCACGCACGCACGCACGCACGCACGCACGCACGCACGCACGCACGCACGCACGCACGCACGCACACACACACACACACACACACACACACACACACACACACACACACACACACACACACACCACACACACACACACACACACACACACACACACACACACCCACCCACCCACCCACACCACACACACACCACACACACACACACACACACACACACACACACACACACACACACACCACACACACAAAGTTACCTGTGTAGCCTCCAGGATGAAGTCGTGGATGTTGATCTGTTCCTCGTTGGACAGACAGAGTCGGTCTTTACTGATGAGGGTGACAGTGAACGCCTCACAGTTCATGGCCTCCTCCCGACTGGGCCAGTACACAAACTCATCCTCTGCCTGTAGAAGAGCACAGGGACCGCCTTTATTTATTCACTGCATGCAACACATTGTCACAGGGGACGGAATTACTGCAGTATTTATGTGCTTATTGAATAAATAAAAGCTAGTCGTGGGGCAAAACATTTGGACTGGAATTTCTACTTTGATTGTGTAAATTACAGTAATGTTTACATTTGGAGGTATGTGAGAGACTTTGTGGTGTATGTATGTTTGTGTGTGCATTACACTGTACATGGTGAGCTATCTGGGTGCGGCTCTGCCAGAATTATTAATAAAAAACCAAATGCGCTCGACAGACCCACATAAGTTAGATAAATTGTACGCTCAGAGTGTAAAAAAAGAACGAATACATTCAGTAGCCAGAGCAGAGGCCTGTACTACGAAGCCGGATTTTCGCTTAGCCGGCTGACTTCAGGGAAAACTCGGGCTTTCTGGTCCTACGACGCTGGTTCTCTTTTTAGCGGGCTAGATCTCCATGGTAACTTATGCTGAGCGGCTAACCTGCTCGGGAGGAGGTTAGGTTGCAGGCTAAGAGATCAACTCAGTGAAAGCACCGCCTGCTGACCAATCAGAGCTCCGTGTGCAGAGTTTAAAGCTATCAAGTCATATTACAGGATAGAGGAAATACAGAAAAACTGCCGTTGCAGGAAAGACGGCCGGCAAAAATCAACTGACTGTGTGAACGTGAACATTAATAGAATATCCCCTCCCATCTTCAGAGCAATCTGACTATTATAACATTAGCGTTAAGAAAGCTTACTTAAATATCTGCCACAACATAAGTGACCGGATCAAAGTAACATTAAGTACAGTCCGCGGCACTGTGAGTGCAGACGTCGATGTGTCCCATTATCATTCATATCATATCACATCATAATGTATCATATATTTCCTTATCTGAGTCAGCTGAGCCGTATCTGGCCGTGCAACACTCACAGTGTCACATACTGTATGCAGAAGTATTATTTTAAGCAACACATTAAGTTGACGAAACACTCGAGTCAAATGTAATTAAAGTCATATCCACTCGTGTCTTGGACGGGGCAGTGATATCATAAACCTGTTAATGTACGCATTCAAACACTTTTTCTGTTACCAGCTGTATTCACCTTGCAGGTGCAGCTATGTGGCTTTGATCCTGGATAAAGTGTTTAAGTCATGGATGTTTAAAGTTTAACTTCTTCATATTTGACTAATATTAAAGTTCACTTTTCATTCAGGAAGTATGACGCTGCGCTGTCAGTACGCTTGTCCATGTTTGTGATTGGTCGAATGCTCCAAATACCACCCCTTTCATGTGAACGCGCACCTAACTAGATAGGACACGGCTGGCTTGAGCGATCCACTTGATAACCAGCGTCGTAGTACAGTTTAGCCAGAGCGCGTATGTTGTGGATTGGGCCAACCGGCTAACTCAAACATATCCAGGTTAAGTTGAACCAGCTTCGTAGTACAGGCCTCAGGTGTCAGAGCCATCCTGAAAAAGGCATGAATACAGACATTGAAATTGACCTATGTTTAATCTTCTCCCTCGTCAGAGAACGCACGTTAGGCTGCTAACCACATTTACACAAAATATCACATGTGTAACTGCGGCTCATGAAAAAGTGTGTGATTCATAATAAATTAGACATTTAAACGCTGGCTTATGGGCAGACAACGCAGGCATGCATATGAGGTCAAAGTGGTAGATTGCCATAGTATCCCTCTATAGTGTGTGTGTGTGTGTGTGTGTGTGTGTGTGTGTGTGTGTGTGTGTGTGTGTGTGTGTGTGTGTGTGTGTGTGTGTGTCTATAAGTCTGTGGGTATCTTTGTGTTTGTGTTTCCTACCAGTCCCTGGTTGGCAGGCAGCATAACAATAATTTGTGCGTTGTGGTCCCAGATCATTCTCCAGAAGTCTTTTGTGGTATGAGGCAGAGGATGCTGGGTAATGATGAACTCATTGCTCCTGTAGTAACCCTGTAAGAAAAACAGGTTGTCAGAGTTAAACTACATTTATTTGGCTTTAGGTTCTGCTTTAAACAGAATCAACACATAACGTTAACATCACAGTCAGCTGATCAGCTGAGAGCCCCCTGCAGCTGGGGGTGGTCACCCCTAAAGGACTAACCACGGCTGGGGGGGTTCAATCTGATCTGGGTGAAATGTAGCCCTGCCTTCATTGATGGATAATAAAAGTACATTTACTCCAGTACGGTACCTAAGTACATTTTTGAGGCACGTTTACTTTACCTGAGTATTCTCAGTGTATACCGCCATTACGCATTAGAAGTACTTTTAATGTGGGTAATATAAGTATATTTGGATGCTGATGCTTTTTTATACTTATAAAATCTGTTCGCTACTTTTACTTAAGGACAACATCTGAGTACGTTTTCCACCACTGCCTGTCTTTGATAGAAAATGACTGCACTACTGAGCAGTGAAATAGACTCTACAGGAAGTGACGGCAGTGACGACAGCTGACAACAAAGACATAATAATCACCACATGGCAAACTACCTCCTTTACAGACTTTCGGGTCATCGGTTGCTCCCAACTTCTTAGTTATGCTTTAAAGGGCACTCCACAATTTGACACACCAAGGTCAGTGAACAAGTCATTTCCCAGCCTGGTACATAATGAATTTCGCCATTCTAGTTTTTCATTAACTTTGAGAAAATTGCTCAACACCATCATCTGGGTTATCGCAGACAGGCTTAAGACTTCAAAGTTTTAATAGAACGCTTGTATTACAGGACAGTAGTGGTCTCCATGGTTACTAGAGAACCAAGACTTGAACATAAGTTGTTGATGTAGCTCAGACATCGGTGTATGGATGTGTGTAATAACTCAGTGTAAGAGTCAGCATGTCTCTGGCTCTGCTGCTTGATGTCGAACATTATTTTCTAAATCTGTCTTTTGCAAGACTTCTGGAGAACCCTGCTAAAGGTTTCTGAAAGTATCTGATTTAGTTAAAGCCACCCCTAATCTCCATATTCCTGTTAAGCCAATGTCAACATGAGCAGCGAGAAAATGTGTGCATCACGATTACAAAATCACAGACAGTGATTCTGAATGAGTGAGTTTTTACCTGATAACATGTGACCTGTGACCGTGTGTGTGACCATGTGACCTCTATCGTTTTTCCAACCCAGTTTAGACTCCACCACGCCACAATAGAAAAGTGGATATCAGTAGATCGTTACAGCGGTCTTGGGCAAATGGAATATGTGTTAACCTCTGACAGTGTTGGAAAGTAACAAAGTACATATACTCAAATACTGGCTACATTTAGTTTGCTGGTTTATTCTTCTTAAATCTATGGTGAATTCTTATTTTTATATTAAAAAGTGCTATGTTTATCAATCTAATCTGAAAAAGCTGCTCTATGAAGCGCCTGTAACTGTCAAATTCATATTTCGTGGGATGAAAACTCCAAGGCAGACGCTCTGATGCTGCGTCGATGATAGTCTTGTGAAAGTGGGCGTGGTTGAATCTCTACTGGGTTGGAAAAACAATAGAGACTGCTCAGTAAAAGCATGGAGGAGAGACTGGAGGATCAATGATTGACAGGAGAAGGGAAAGTGCTCACCATGATGTAGGAGGCGTTAATGTAGTCAGTGCCTTTAGTGCCGGGCAGAGGTGCCAGGCCGACCCTCGCTCGTTCCGCTGCTCACAGATACACAGAGAGAGAGGGAGGGGGGAGCCATTTAGCAGTTTATTAGAACAGAGCAATCACACTGAAAGGACAGTATGTGTGCATTCATTCATCCTAATGCTGATGGTTGGGAGTAAACAGTTCTTGGTAATGCTTGACTGGTGATTGAGAGAAGTATTACAGTGTGTGAAACAGCTGCAGATCACACACAGCAGCTGAGTAATGATAATGAGAGCAGACAGCGTGTACATATCAGAGGGGCCATATTCAGCTAGCTACAGTTTGAAAGGCTATTATGGAAATGCGTTAACTATGCTGAACACGGAGTTGTTTTAATGTTGTTTTAAAACTGATCGCAACAACATTTATACATGTAAGGGCATTCAAAATAGAACAAAAACTTTTTTTAAATTAGATCAATTGTGTAATTGGTATGATTTACAGTATTGTTAAATACAGGAATTTATACAACAAGTTTTAGTCATGGTTGGCTATAGTGGTTTATGTTAAATGTGAAGATGAGCTGTTAGCAAAGAGTTAGGAAAAATAAGCTTTTCCTGAAAATACCATATAGCATGAAGCGCAAATCATAGACAGCTAACAGAACTTAACATGAATGACGACGATAAAAATGATATATCTCTATGGAACAGCACATAAATACGATTCAATAATAACATGATCTTCTTTAATGCAGATGATGTAATGGTGATCAGTGAATGATGCGACTAGTCTCTTATTGCATCGGTCTTTATGGTTTGGTTATTACTACTGGAGCAGGGTTCACTTCAAATGTAGTATTTGTTTAACATGAGTGTAACACTTACATGGCACCACAGAGGAATTTCGATTCTTCTCTTTGTTGCACTCCTTCTGAGCGTTGAAGCATTCCATGAATCGGTCATTACACTGTGTTACCAACTAAAAGACAAAAGAAGAAGAGTTACACTTTTAAACATTGTAATGACAGACCACCTCACAGTTAGGAAGTGATTTCATTTAAAGAACTCTGGGATTTGGTGAAATATGCCTTGTTCACTGTGTCAGTAACCATTTCAGTCTTAGTGGTTCAGTCTCAGCTAACATACTAGCATACGATTATTCCAAAGCTAATAGTATAGTTCTAAAATAAAAGCTGAAGGTAACACAGAAAGCAGCTAAGAGCAGAACAACCCCAAACTAGCTGAAGCAGTTGGGAAACAAGCAAAAAGACCAGAAGAAAAACAAAAGCTCGACAAACAATGACTACATTCAGAAGAAGTCATTGGCTTAATCCTAACCTTGTCAGGGAGGCATGAAGCATTCCCATAACAAAGAAAGCTATTGATTGGCACATTCCCTCCATCTGGTCAGGACCTTGGATATCGTGATGAAATACCAGGATTTACCTTGCTACTAACAACCCTCCTCATACCTACAAACAATATACATGAATGATAAGAATATCTGATGCATTTAATTAGTGCCCGGAATCAGCAATGTGGCATACTGTAGGTTGAAATCTCAAACAAGCAATGTGCTTTTTACTATAATAATGAAAAAGTATGTTATTGTTAAGAATTTACTGATTTCAGGGAAACCTACTGTCTTTGTTCTGGAGAGAAGTTTAATCCCCATTATATGAACCCTTTGACATTAAAGGTCCCATGACATGGCCATTTCTACTGATCATAATTCCATTGTTGAGGTCTACTAGAATAGATTTACATTGTTCAATGTTCCAAACTCACATTGGTTTCTCATACAGCATCTCTGTATAGTATGTGTATTCACTCTCTGTCCTACACGACTTGTTGGAGCTCCTGCCCCCCCCTCCCTATGAGCCCACTGTGCTCTGATTGGTCAGCTCGCCCACTCTGTTCTGATGAGTCCACCACCGTTACAGCGGAACATCAGTGATTATGTGTTACAATGGCGTTTGTTAGCAACCAGAAAATGACACCAGTAATGACAAACAGATGAGAATGCTGCGTGGGGTCTGGGTGCCGTGTTGGCGGGACGCTGCGGGGCTCGCTGCTGCGAGGAGCGGACAGTGTGAGCTGGGTTCATTTCCTGCTTGCTGCATGGGGTCTGCGAGACAGTGAGACATCGCGAATGGACGCGGGAAGAGGGGGGGTGGGTGCTGAGGGGGCTGCAGCACCCCCATCTGCGAGGCTCCACTTTCCAGAGTTTTACTCGCTACAGGGTGTACTTTGAGGGTTTGTGACTCTGCACACCGTTTACAAGCATAAAAACCTTCATAACACACAAGGGGACGGGTAATAGCCGGAAAAGCATGACATGGGACCTTTAAGCCTCTTGACACCCTATGCTGATAGTTAAAAGCTAAAAGCTAGTAGGCTAATAAGTTGGTAAGATAATAGTTAGCAGGTAATGCAACCTGACTCAGCAGCAGTTACATTAACGAGGCGAATGCTGAGAGTTTGAAATCACCTTAAACTGTCTCTCCAGATGTGTGCGCCCGCTCCTCCCTGGTGTCCTGATGTTGTGGAAGTAGCTGTGAAGCTGGCTCGCTGCCACCTCTGTCTCCTTCCCCAGAATGGCTTCCATCAAGGCATCGTGGATGAAGATGTACTGCTCCTAGATCAGCCAAACGGTGAGAAAAATACCTTTAGAGGCTCGTCTGTTTGACATGCCCAAACCATACGTTTGCATTCCAATAGCAATTTTTAAATAACACAAGTATGAGTTACAGCCCTTTTGGGGATTTTCTTAAGACATGAATGTTCAACAAAGAAGAAATGAACTCTCTTTCCTGTGCAAACGGTTGAAAAAAGTGATATGATGTATCAGTCTAACCACACATGCATTCCAAACATACACCCTCCTGAAAGATGCAAGAGGAGTCAGATAAACTTATATTAACAATGTGTTTACAATGATTTGGTCAAACAAAGTCGTTTTGGTGCACTCAAACAGTCCGTGAAAGATGGCCAATAGTCATTTCCTGCATGTGTGACAGTGCCTTCATGCCTTCCAGGTGACTTTCTCCATGTTGGTCCTCGCATGGCCTGTCTTCTATTGAATCGGTCTGGTGAGTTTTTACAAAGATAACTTTTGCAGAGTGTAAAGTTTCCATGTATTGGGTACATGTACATTGATGTTAACCACTGAATACATTCTAAACATGATCCTCTGGCATTTATTCATTACACCTTAATGTCCACTTGAGAACAGAAATGTGAAACTCTTGGTTACCATAATTAGGCCTGTATTATAAACAGGAAGGATGGATGAAGCATGGGGTAAGCAGAAACCTGTTAGTGCTGCTTTACCTGAGATAAGTCTAACAAACATTTCTCATACACACACAGATACACACCTCAGTCTGGACTAGGTAGTTGCGCTGGGTACGAATGTGTTTGAGGAAGCCAAGAACATTCACTGTGCTCTTGTCTCTGATCTGCCGCAGCATGCTGTCCAGCACCATGTAGGTCCCGGTCCGACCCACTCCAGCACTGCAGCACAAACCAGGCCAAAGACAGGAAATATTTATATTCTCATTACGCATTTAATTCACTGTTGTTATTATGTAAGGGTCTACATCAAAGATAAACACCTTTAAATTAAACAAAAAAATTGAAAAATAGAAACGTACTTCTTATAAAATATATATTTCCCAAATTGCTATTGAGCAAAACAAAACACAAATTATTGGAAGTCCAGATATAGGAGTGCCCAGTGGCTCACACATGTGGACGACAGGTTGGACGGACTCTAATTCATGTTTTGACGGTCGTGTTGTGTGCCTCAGCTTTGGCAGAGTCTTCATGGTGTAATTATCCTGTCACGTCAGACTGTGAATGTTTCAGGATGTTGTCATTCGTCCGCAGACATAACCGTGACTTAAAAATCACCATACCTATTTTGTTCTGCATGCTCTTTCGAACTTGCTATGCTACTGGAAGTAAATGTTTTATTTTCCCTGCGATATCATAAATGAAGTTAACGGGAGGCAAGTACTCGCCATTTTAATTTCACGCATGTGTGACTGTGCCGTCAAGCCTCCCAGAAGATTTTTCTTTCATTTTGGGCATCCATTATTCTTAAAGACATGGTAGCCTTGTTGGCATGTGTACTCTCACATTGAAATGTAATCAGAATGATGAACACATAGACTACTCTCAGATTCAGGACTTCCTGTTTCCTCCAGAGCAGCAGAGTGAACGTGAGTGTGTGTATGTGTTCTGTTTTTGCCTGAGCCCGAGGATGTGTGTGTGTATTTGCCAGTACAAATGGTAACAATGAGTGGTGTGTCTGCAGCCACAGCGCGAGGCAGTGTGACACGTTATTATCGACGCTCACACGATAGCAGAGCGCTTCATACTGAATCCCCCGGGGCCACAGTCAGTGGACAATTACCAGCAACTTCCCCACCTGCCTTACTGTAAAATGCCCTAAATACAAGCTTGCAACTGTGACAGCAGGTTCAATAAAGCTGTTTGGATATGCAGTCGTTGCAAAAGCAAAGCAGGTTAGGTTCATTTGTAATATCTCTGCCTTGAGGCCCTACAAAAAGTGCTTTATTCAAAGTAAATCAAGGATGAAATTGATGCCTCTGTTCACAATAATCCAAAAGACCTTAAATTAAAGTGTACAACAACAAAATAAAATAGTCAAAATGACCGCACACACTATGAATAGGGATCAACAGTTAATAACTCTGGTGAAAGATGGATGAGTGGTGGAGGGGGTACAGTCAGTACAGTGGGATGTAAATCAGTACCTGCAGTGGACCAGCATGGATCCCATGTCAGGCAGCTGTGCAGCGGAGGACCTGCGGACAAATGTGAGGATGGGCAGGGTGTACTCCGGGACCCCCATGTCGGGCCACTGGGTGTAATGATACTGAAACACCGTCCGCTCACTCTGCGCCCGCGCCTTCCCGCTCCCCTTCCCACCCTGCATGGTGATAAGAAGCAAAGAGAGGAGGAAGGCATCAAAGCTTTGAACGTATCAAACTGGGGGAGGGACAAAAAAAAGAACAATTCCATAACCTCTAAAATATGTTACAGTTTTTGCAATTAACCACAAACCTTTTAAAGTAGATTCAAATATGTAAAGGTTTTACTAGCCTATGAACAAACTACAGCATAGTTTTGGCAGTAAACGTCTTGCATACAGCGGAAGATAGGATTTACTTAGGATATAAAGAAATAAAGAGTGCAAATAAAATGGGGCAAGTCAAATGCAGGAATAATAAAGTATGTACAATAGGATGGAACTAGAGAATGCAATTCCTGAAGAAATTGCTAGTGGGAATGCTTTATGCTGAAAATCTGACGCTAAACTGCTATGCTGAAATGTAATGTGTAAGAAGAAAGTGAAGAATTTAGATTGAAATGATACATGAACACTGGGGGCTTGAATGTGTGATGAGAGAAGAAAAGAGAGTAAAAAGGCTTGGAAAAGCAGCAGAATATTTGAACTGCAAACTTTTGAACTAACTTCAAATCAAATCAAATCAAATCAGGTTTTATTTATATAGCACATTTAAAAGCGATTTTTGGTCGAGCCAAAGTGCTGTACATGTAATAAAAACACAATTACTACAAACACAGTAAACGACAATAAATTACAACAGATATATCTTAAAAACGAAATAAAAATAAAACACACAAAAGTCAGGAGTCGTGCTCCGCTCTAACTAGAAAGCCAGAGAGAAGAAGTGTGTTTTTAGTTTAGATTTAAAAACCCCTAGGGTCTGGGCCGACCTCACATGGAGGGGCAGAGTGTTCCAGAGCCTAGGGCCAGCTGCTGCGAAGGCTCGGTGCCCTCGGGTTTTTAGCCTGGTCTTGGGCACTACCAGCAGCAGCTGGTCAGCAGACCTTAAAGCTCTGGCTGGGGTGTAGCGCTGGAGCAGTTCAGTTATATAGGCCGGAGCCAGCCCATTTAGGGCTTTAAAAACAAATAAAAGGATTTTAAAATCAATTCTGAACCGAACTGGAAGCCAGTGTAATGAGGCCAGAATAGGGGTGATGTGGTCACGCTTTTTGTGGCCAGTCAGCAAACGTGCAGCAGCGTTTTGGACTAGCTGTAAGCGTTTGATTGAGGCCTGGTCCATACCCACATACAGAGCGTTACAATAGTCCAGTCTCGAGGTTACAAATGCGTTAATAACCCTTTCTAAGTCATTAAAAGATAAATACGTCTTGGTTTTGGCCAATAGTCTTATTTTAAAAAAGCAGGATTTTACTACGGTGCTGACCTGCTTGTCGAATTTAAAAGTGTCAGTTCAGGTCACTCCAAGGTTCATGACCGAGGGGAGGATGTTTTTTTTGATAGAGCCCAGAATATCAACCGGAGAGGCTGGAGGTTGCGGTCCAAAAAAGATGACCTCGGTCTTGCTCTCGTTGAGGTTGAGGAAGTTTTTGCTCAGCCAGGATTTTATCTCTGCTAAGCAGTCCATCAGCTGCTGTAGTGAGTGTTTGACATTTGCTTTGAGAGGCAGATAGATCTGTACATCGTCGGCGTAGCAGTGGAAGGGAATGTTATGTTTTGTGAGAATTGAACCTAGGGGCAGTATGTACAGTAGAAAAAGGATGGGGCCCAGAATCGAGCCTTGGGGAACCCCACAGGTAAGAGGGGCTTTGGCAGAGGAGAAGGCACCTAGCTGTACCGAGAAGCTACGGTCTGTCAGGTAGGACCTGAACCATGCAAGGGCAGAGCCTGTGATGCCAGCGGACTGTTCAAGCCGTGACAGCAGGATGCTATGGTCCACAGTGTCAAAGGCAGCTGTCAGGTCTAACAGCACCAAGACAGCTGGGCTACCTGAGTCGGCGGCTAGGAGCAGATCATTAAAAACTCTTAAAAGAGCTGTTTCAGTGCTGTGCATGGGTTTGAAGCCAGACTGAAACTTTTCATGGATTCCATGGATGGTTAAAAAAGACTGCAGCTGGGCGTAGACTACTCGCTCCAGGGCTTTTGATAAAAAAGGTAGCTGGGAGATGGGCCTAAAATTTGCGAGAATGGAGGGGTCGAGATTTTTCTTTTTAAGGAGTGGCTTAACCACGGCATGTTTGAAGGCAGCTGGGACACATCCTGAGGTAAGAGAGGTGTTTAAAAGTAATAAAATACTTGCTCCAACTGAATCAAAAACATCTCTGAGAAGGCGAGAGGGAATGCTGTCTGAGGTGCAGTTTGTCGGCCGCAGGTGCTTGACTACATCCGAGAGAGAAGAGAGGGATACAGGCTCAAAGTGGTCGAGGACAGCAGGGCACAGAAAAGGAGCAGGATCTGGGGTAGCACTAGTGTGGGCTAGCCTAAGAGCAGATACCTTTTCAATAAAAAATGTAAGAAACTTATCACAGAGAGTAGTTGATGGGACAATAGAAGAAACATCACAGGGATTAATGATCGAGTTGAGGACATTAAAAAGAACCTGAGGTTTATGGCTGTTTTTGGAGATTAACAGAGAAATGTGCTCTGTTTTGGCTGCTTTGACTGCCGTCTGGTAGTCAGAAAGGCAAGCACGAAGGATTTCTAGGGAGACATGGAGTTTATCCTTTTTCCATTTTCTCTCTGCACGCCTGCAAGCGCGTCTGAGAGCACGAGTACAGTCATTGAGCCACGGCTCTGATAGAACTTTGGTGCGTCTAAGCGTAAAAGGAGCAACAGAATCCAGTATTAGTGTGCATGTCGAGTCAAACATGGAGATAAACTCATCAGCATTAAAAGCACAGTTCACATCTAATTTACAGATCGGAGAAGCATTAAAAACATCAGAGAACTGTGAGGCAGTCAAGGGGTTAATCGAACGCAGACGACGCGCCGGGGCACGTGATTCGACTCCTGCGGAAGGGATGGTGGTTGTAAACAGAACCGGTAAATGGTCTGAGATACGCGTTGCTGCACATATTTCATCCACAGATACAGACAGTCCAAACTAATACTAACTTGATGGCGAATGATCTGTCGCCATGGCAACGGTATTTGATGACACCCCATTAACGCTTAGATGTGTTGATGGCTGCATCGTTACCAAACCTGTGAAGTTTTGGGCCGTTTGGAGCATTTTCACTGAAGTTATGAGAAAACCGTGTTTCATAGCGAGCATGATGTTGCCATGGCAACGGTATTTGAAGAAATCTCAAAACTGTCACGTAGATGTCTTCACGGCTGGACTGTTAGCACACATGTGAAGTTTGAGCACTTTTTGACCATTTTCACAGGAGTTATAGCAATATCGTGTTTTACGGCGAGGGATGCGTTGCCATGGAAACGGCATATGGTAAGATCTCAGATTTGGCGTACAGCTGTTGAGCCATGGACCGGTGATATACAAGTGAAGATTGGGGGACGATCGGACCGTGTCCATTGGAGTTACAGCGACATCGTGTTTTATGGCAAGGGATGCGTTGCCATGGTAACACCACGTTATGTAACATCAGATTTGAGGTAGAGCTGTTCAGGGCCACAGTGTTAACCATCATGTGATGTTTGGTGGCGTTCTGAGCATGTCAGTTGGAGTTATGACATCATCACACAGGTGTTTGTGTTTGAGGTGACGACGTTAGGAAACACCTGTGTGTGTGTCCAGAGATCAAAGGTTACCATGGTGATGTGCAGTAATCAGTGAGAGGAGAGCCTTTCCATTGTTCTGAATGAGGGATAAACCTCTTACATGTGAACGTTTTGTTGAAGAACCGTAGCAGATATCGGTGAAATGTCAACGCGTGAAGCATGTCAGGACCCCGACGAGCGTCTCAGTGTGCTTTTTGTGTACTTTCGGGTCAATAATGTGGCCTTTTTGGCAGATTAACTAAAGGTGTGCGGCTGCTGCTGTGAGGAAAGATCAGGCTGAATTTATAATGGGCCTTAATGGAGACATGTTGAACGTTTTTGTCACTTCATGCCCTCTAGAGGCATTTTTTCTGTTCAATTATTTTTTATTTTCCAACCTAGGAGAGGTTTTCCTACGTTTTTCATGAAGAATTATGTCTCAGGAGTGTAGGGTTTGGGAATTATGGCAGGTTTAAAAAAAATATGAAGGCGAATTTTAAGCTGTCCCCCACTCTAGCTGTGACATCACGCACTCTAGCCTTAACGAGAAGAAGGCCTCTTTACCAAGGTCTGAACAATGTCTAATATCTCTAAAAGTATGAATCTGATTTAAAAGTTGTCGAACACGAATAATGTCAGAAAGATGTGAAACATTTTAAAGTTGGAATGAGGTTTCTGAGTGAAAGTATGAAGTTAGCAGTTGAAGTCGCATGAAGATTTTTCAAGTCTGAAGAGTTTCTCCATTCACTTCCATGTTAAAAATGTGATGAATTATGGGATGTATCCCTGGAATTATGAAAGTTATGAATGAGAAAAGTAATAGTCATCGATTCCCGACGGAGCTGAACGTTTTGATGTGTGATATGGAGTTTCTGCGATGTGGAATGTGGGAGCAGAAGAGGAGTTGGAATGCTGTATCAGCATTCCAACTAAATAACATAAAACATAATATAAAATGAAACCCTGTTCAGTAGAACACATATTGTATATTAGAGTAATGATATATAAATAAGTGGATGTGTGGAATAAAAAGATGAAAAGTGTGTTATTGACGTGTGTGGTGGGGTCAGGAGTTCAGCCCTATGGCCTATGGCAGGGGTGGCCAACCCGCGGCTCTCGAGCGCATGCGGCTCTTTGCCCAGTTTCATGCGGCTCTTCAGTTCATATTGAATTTTATATGTGTGAGTGTGGGGGAGAGACACGGACTCCTGACAGTTAAACCTGATATTTAGTAGGTCTGTTAAGTATTGAATGCTGATCATTCTGACGTAATTTGGCCGGTCAAAGTTGTTTGGGCTCGGATAAAATCGCTCCGTTACTTTCGTCCCGTGTTACTTTCGTCCCGTGTTACTTTCGTCCCGGCTCTCCCTACGTGTGTATGTGTGGTGTTAGGTGTTAGTATGAGAGGATGACAGCGCGTCTAATTTTGATGTGGCCCAAGAGCCAATCACAATAATACCTGCGATCAGTGGCGGCGCCAGGGTATGGCTGGGGTAGGCTACAGCCATACCAAGAAATGGCTTAGCCCCACATTAGCCCCACCATGAAAAATGATGTTAAAGTAAGCAAAATAAAGTCCGCCAACTCGCGCCGAGTAAATTGCACAGACAGCAGTTAGTAAGATTGATTTCAGCAGCCACTTGTCTGGAAATACCGAAGACGAGAAACGGTTTTGAAAACTTTTGTCACGTAGTGATCGTCTTCTCAATAAAACATCTTTGATAATGTCTTCTGGCCAATCAGAATCACGATAACGGCGTGGTGTTGTTGCAGGAAGTCCCGACGGATAATTATTTTGCGGTAGTACACCATGGATGTATAATAAGAACACCTCTATATACATCGATACAACATTACGTGTTGATAGAAATCAACACGTAATGAAATAAGACCCCACGGTTTGATGATTGATAGGTGTGTGGGCTGTCTTTCATTTTGACACACAGAACAATGGGGGCTATCCACCCTTATCCACAATGTAAAGTAATTCACACAGCCTCTTCCCTCTTCTCTCTGTGAGGAGCAGCAGGTTCAGCTTTCAGAACAAAGTAAGTAACAAAAAACTAATATGGCATTCATTTTTTTAAATGTGTAGTAATAGATTTATTTATTTTTCTTCTCAAGAGAGTACCAGAATGTGTATTTTATGTTAGTATTTCAAAAAATCTCCTTGGGGGAGAATCCCCCCAGACCCCCCTACAGGGGTTGGGTTTTCAGCATGTCAACTCTTTCACCTGTGGGGAAATTGCAGGATTGGCTCCAGGTCGCCCTTTTTATTTACTACAAGACAAATGTGCCTTTTTATTTCATACAGTTCAATTTGGATTGAGACAGGGAAATAATCTAAACCTCACGCATGGTGTTTCACTGTCAAGGGGGCGATATAGCGTGTATGTAATTACATTGCAAATACTGACTTGAGCCCCACCACTGTATGGGTTAGCCCTACCATAGATTACCCAACAAAAATACTCTGGCGCCGCCACTGCCTGCGATGCAGTGAACCATTCACCTTTGAGTGGGGGAAAACCTATCGTTGATTAAACACTATCTGACCATGAACTGAGTTTGATCCTAAAATGGCAGGGAAGAAATGCACAGCTAAGCGAAAATATGAAGACGAACATAGGACGTTTTTGGTAGAGTGGGAGAGTTCATATTTTTTTATCGAATGCAATTGCAAGAAAAAAAAGACATACATTTCATGGGGGTGCTTAGGGGGTGCTATGGCTAACCTGGGGGGTGCTTCAGCACCCCCTAGCGCCCCCCTGGCGCCGCCACTGCCTCTATGAAACGTCAAGCTACACCACAGCACCCCCAAAAGAAAATATCTGGTGCCGCCACTGTTACCTGAGCTTCATGTTTCTGGTTTGTCAACACATTACAGGAGCTTCATTAGAGATGTTATTTTGCCCTGTAGCAGCAGATCAGCTTTAGATTTGCAGAGAGGAATAAACAGACCCCCCACCAGGCTCTCTGTGCTCTGTGACTAGCACCCCCCCAACACATGCTGCCTGTGTCACTTCTTCCCTCTCACTCTCACCTTTTTGACTTTAGTGTTCCGAAGAGTGAAGCGGCGCACCGTATAGCAGGCGTGAACTTTAGAGCTCTTCAGAGTCACCAGCATGTTGCCGTACTCTTCACTGTTCTCTGTCGGCCAGTACTGGTCACATTTTCTCTGTAGAACAAACACACACACATGAATCAGATCAATAGTGCATGTGCATTACAATTCTGTCAGTGTAACACGTTTCTGTGGAAACGTTTTTCACACATCCAAAAAAGAACAAACATGAGATTGAGAACTTTTTTATTGATTTCTTTGTGTACTATTTTTCTTTCTTGTTTTCCTTCTATATTTGGCTCTGTAGATACAGCTACATGAAAATGAAAATGGAAAAACTGTTGAGAATATGTCTGTATAATGAAACTGAGATATAAAGAAAACATGAGACTGAGTAAACATATTATTAAGCTGCCCTGATGTATGAACCCCTGTATATTAGTGTTGCCTTTGTGAGCAAGTACACCAGAACCATGGAATTGGCTAATCTATAATTAGCCCTAATTGTTGTTTGATTGTGTTAGTTACAATGTGTTTTGAAGTCCAAATGACTGCAGTGAGAAACTCATTTATCCTGAGCAGCAGGGAATAATGCTTTCTTTTGTCTTTCCATTTAGTGTAATCACTGTGTAATGGGGGGGGGGGGGGGGAGCTTTTGACAAGTTATGAAACATTTTTAAACCTCCCTATAAACACACAAATATACATTCAGTCTGTGTGAGATTCAGAGCGTACCCGGCCTTTCTCCACTAAGTTGGTGATCATGACGATGACGCCGGTATTTTGCTCCCACACCATCCGCCAGAAGTCGTCAAAGGTGGACTTGAGGGGTCCCTGGGCAGCGATGTAAGCTTTAGGCTTGTTAAAACCCTAGTGGATGAATAACAAACGACATAATTCATCATTACAGTCTGAAACCGGAGATTATATCTAAGATATCTGGAGTCTTGATTCTGCTCTTGCGCCATCATCTCCAAAATGATTTCTCTACTCACACACACACACACACACACACACACACACACACACACACACACACACACACACACACACACCACAGACACACACACACACACACACACACACACACACACACACACACAGATCAGTGTTGTAGGCTTCCCAGTGGAAGTACTCACATCCACATAGTTAGCGTTGATGTAGTCTGAGTGTTTGGAGTCCTTCCCAGCCAGCGGCCTCAGCTTCACCCTGCTGTGGTCGTCTGAGGAGGAAACAGAGCGGTACACACACACAGTGAGTGTGGTGTGTGAATGAGCATACACACACATCTCTCCATGTCATGTTGTAATGTTGGGACCCTTCCAAGTCACCTGCTGCCAACCAGGAAGCACATTCACCTCTGTGGTACACACTCTGGTCTGTGGTGTAGCTTTTACAGACTTTTAAACAGCATGGGACTGCCTTTAGCTCCCAGCATGCACCCTGATAAACATAAGACTGAGCTGCTATCTCACCCTGATGCTTGTATGAGACATGTGAAATATTTATTACAGAATCAAGTATTCATCGGCCTGTGTGTGGCGTCTTAGCACAGCAGGGTTTGTCGAAGTTTGTTGGTCTGGTTAACCATTAACACATATACTAAGTGTTTCAACAAATGTTAAATAAAAACTAGCAAACATAATAAACTGGGTGGAACTGGTTGCAACATTAGTTACCGCTTGGATGAAATGCCTTTGACTATAATTTCAGAGCTGAATATGATTTTCATCTCCCTGGTTAATGCATGAAACATATGGGAAATAATGAGAAGATTCTGTCAGATTTGCGGACTGGCTGAGTCTGAGATCTCTTCACATCTTACTACATTTAAATTAAAAGTGTCTTATATTTACTGCAGCAGATTGAATTACAGGATATGTGTGTATTATATCAAGAACATAGAACATGGTATACATTATGGCGTGTTGAAGTGTGTACTCACAGGCTATTATGTTGATATATCTGTTCTTGTGCTTGTTGTCGGGGTGGTTGGAGTGCTCTGACGTGAGCTTCATATCTGCAGTGCACCGTTGAACCTCCTGGACAAGGACGCACACACGCACACGCACACACACACACACACACACACACACACACACACACACACACACACACACACACACACACACACACACAAGCCGCTTTATCATTCTGATACAGTCTGTACATTTGTGGTTTGCAAGGTATCCTAAACTTGTTGCATTTTTGAAAATGTACTGTGGATGTCAAATGCTTAATTTTTTTAATGAGCATCACTTTACGATTTTTACTCAAGATATTCCTATATCTAAATCTCTAGGGGCTGCTAGCTGCGCTTCAGACTTTTTTGTGAAAAGCCAAGTGTACTATTGGTCATGTGAGACAAGAATGGATCATTTACACAAACAGATAATGTGTTTTATTCCTTTTCCTTTTTACACTTTAGGAATCAATGGTACTAGTGTTGTTTTGTTGAGATATATTCTATTTTCATAAATTCCGTTTTTATATTCTGCCTTTTGAGGTAACTTGAATCAGGTTTTATTCATTTTTAGAATCGCCTTTATGTTTTTTAATAAATAAACTTTCATTCATTGCACCACTTTATACACATGCATAAACTTCACAGCGGGCGGAACTTGTCATAAAGTCCGCGAAAATAAAGCCCACCCATTTAGAGGGAAGATATGATTGGTCAATTGTACTGTCATTTGACATTACTCTCTCGTTGAGTTACTATAGCTGGCCCTCTGTGAATTTACAGCAGGACCACCAATCAGCTCCTATCTTCACAGTGACTCGCAGAGACGAGCTTCTTTCATTTAACCCTTCACATTCAACAGAAACTGAACAGGCAGATTCGAAGGATTTATTTATTTGGAAATGTTATTTTAAATACAATTAAATCAAGTTATTTTGGTAAAACTAATGAAAAATATAACAAAAACATTTTTTTTAATGTTTTCAAATATTATTTTTTAGAATATCTTAGGCCCAAGAGGGCCCTGACGGCTCGCCACTGGTAAGTGATTACTTAATAATAACGGATCATTGTTTTGTTATGAATGATTAGGCATACTGTTCTACAGTGGGTGCCCCCCCCACCCCACACTGCTGTCACTGTCTCTCACACAGCGGCTGCTCTCCTGGTTCGACCTGTTTGGTCTGACTTCAGCTTCTTTACCCCTCATTCTCTTCCATTCCCTTTTCCATTCATATTTCAGCTAAATAGTGTGTGCTTAAATTAGTTACATACCTTGCTTAGCAAAATTGCTTATTTTCTTGACCGAAGGGTACGGTACATGGTTTCATCAAGGACATTATTTTCTTGTTTACTACATAATTAATCTCCTCTGTGGATACTGCCTTATGGCTGTTTCTTACAATCCTTAAAATGACAGCAAGCCATTCTGGGCTGACAGCCAGTGCATATATGTCAGTGTTTAATGTGGAGTTCCTGCCAGGCAAACAGCTGTTGGCTGCTCGATCAGCATGACCACAGGGAAGGCAGGCGCTGGATTTGGATCTGACCCCTTGGCCTCATTTCCCTTGGAGATTTACAGGCCTACTGTCATGTTTTAGCACTATTATACATTGAGGCATCATACTAATTGGGAAGGGAATTTATTTTTGGCGTGGCAAACAGCATGTTCAGTATGTGTGAGCAGATCAGGTAGGTTTCATTGGAAGATTTGACTGGAGATAATGTCACACAAAGACAGGTGATGCGATGAGCAGATGGTGCAGGCCCTGGCACAGATACACCCTCGTAACTATTAAGTTACTCATTCAGGGGTCCAGCTCAGTACACACATTTTCCTTTTTCTAGGGAGAGCATGGACCAGCACTGCAGAGAGATTGAAGTAAAAACAGGAACCAAATTGAGGATGAAGAAAACTGAATTGTCCATGTCACTAAAACTCCTAGATTTCTCTTCAATAATCAATCAGCTAGTCTTCATTATCTTCAAATCTCTACTTTCAGGATCAGTGGTGGCAACCTGCTCTTTTAAATTCTTTCACAAGTTTATCAAAGCCTTGCCATCAGCATCTGATAGTGTGTGTGTTCTTGTGTGTTTCAAATGTGCTGAATAGCTGGTTTAGTCTGAAACAAGAAATGAAGAGCTTGGGCAAATACAAATTGCAAGTGTAAGACTTGTAACGTGACTTTACTGCTTACCTCGAAATCTTCTGAGAATCCGTGTTGGTTATTGGAGTAGCGTTCAGAGATGTGTTTGATGAACTGCTTGACTGGAATGGCCTCCATGTCATCTGAAGAGAAGAGGCAGGGTTAAACCAGCTACACAAGAGCAGCCACTTCCTCTGCAGTCACAATGCCCCCCCCCCCCCCCCAACGATGAGACTGGACAACTTTTGAATGGAATAGTGAATTACAGAAACAGAGCAGCACGCCTTTAGCAAATAAAGGTATAGTATTGTGTAACTAAGGCAGTGGCAGACTATTGTTTTATTTTCCAGGGATGCAAACACACGTATGGTGAAAAGAGAGAACTATTCGAAGCAGAACAAAAACAGCCTGTGCTATAATGCTTCAATGAACTGGCTATTCTTTATAATATACTCAGATCAATAGGAGACAGAGATGTTAAGTTATAAATTAAGGGTTTTTATTATTATTTACATCAGGGGTGGGGAACCTTTTTCCTCTCAAGGGACATTTCAATTTTTTCAACATCCTCCGAGGGCCCGTACAAATTATTGACCTCTGCTTAAAAATACTAAAATCACAGCCCATTCATTTGGCCTTTCTTTCATGCTGTACAAAGAAAAAGCAACCTCTCAATCCAGATATCTCACCATGACTCGCGCATGCATGCACGTGCACGGTGTGGCATGACCACCACAACAGAAAGATAGACACGCAAGATGTGTGCAAATGTATTTAGTTTCCTATCCATGTGGACATCATTTAAGTGGGGGGGTGGACCTTACATCCTCTAGGGGGGTCCGGGAAGATTTTTTTTTAAATGCTGAAGTTAAAAGCATCAATCTGGTGCACTTTGAGAGCAACATGAAGAGATCTATGGATACATCTCTCAACATCCATATGAAACAGAACTCTAAGCAGATTTCTTTTTCTTTATGGATATTTTACAAATCACTCTATTATTATTATTATTATTATTATTATTATTATTATTATTATTATTATTATTATTATGTTATTAATAACAACTTTTCTGTTACTGTTATATAGTATTTTATACCTGTTTACTTTATTCTCTTGTTTTTTTATAACTATAATGATCATATCAAGGTGTGCCTTTACCTCACTGAGCTGAGGTTATCAGAGCCTCTCAGTCTGTCAGGAGAGAGCTCTCTTCCACCTGGTTGTAGAAAAAGCTCTTTATATTCGTTAGCATAGCTAGCTAACCAGATGCTAATAACAACAAATCGCCACTGGGCTTACAACTAAAGACACAGCCACGCAAAAACTGCGGCATGTGTACGGCTCCTTATGGGTACTGCAATATTTGTACATGTAGATGTTCAAATGTCAAAGTTTATAGTTATAATTTTACAATGCAGTAGTGTTGGAGCTATACATAGAATTATTTCATTTAGTAATTAAACATTTATTTTCTAGCTGTTTTTGTTTATATTCAATTATTATTATTTATTGTTATTATTTTAGCTAATTCAAGTATTTCTTTATGCTTTTATTTTGAAGGTGGCGACAGGTGTTGGGGGGGATTGGTGCACCAGATTGAGCATATGTTTTTTTTACTAGAGATAAACATAGGAAAGCCACAGGGGAAACCTTCGTGCTTTATGTTTTGCATTATTGGAATACTACAAAATAAACAGACGAAAGGATAATCCCGCCTGGACGTTGAACCTTTTCCTGCATGACATTCGCTTACAAGTGCCCCAGTGGCAGTTAATAATCCCGCTTTTATTTTGAGATAGGTTTTCAGTTTTATTTCTTTATTCAAATGCTACAAGTCATTTTTGGACATCTACAATTTCATTTCAACCGTGAAATCTCCATCTGCTAAATTACCAACAAAGGTTGAAGAAGTACTCAGATCTTGTACTTGAGTAAAAGTGGAAGTACTCAGGTCTTGTACTTGAGTAAAAGTAGAAGTACCAGAGTGTAGGAATACTCTGTTACAGTAAAAGTCCTGAATTCAAAATGTTACTTAGTAAAAGTAGAAAAGTATTAGCATCAAAATATAGTGAAAGTAGCGACAGTAAAAGTAGTGATTGTGCAGATTGGTCCATTTCAGAATAATATATATGATATGTTTTATAATGATTGATAATGAAAGTGTTATCAAAGCTGGTAAAGGTGCAGCTAGTTTGAATGACTTTGTATACTGCAGGGTAGCTTGTGAATTTACTCCAGGTGGAACTAAAGTCTGATTTAACACTTGATTAGATTTCACATCATTACTTAGTTACTTTCCACCTCTGGTTACCAAGGTCAAGATGGAAGTCCTTATAACATCTTCTGGGAGTGATGTATGCCTGCAACACATGTTGTTTTAGAACAACTAAACCACAAAGAGATACAAAGTTGTCCTTGTGTTAGGTCAAGGCAACGTTTCCATTTATTTGTATTCACTGTTATGTTTATTACCCTAGATACTCAAAATAGATGGCTAGATGTTAATAAAGACTAGTGATATGAGCATAGCATGTTCTCTCATGGAACTAAGTGGTGCGTGAGTCCAATCACTACAAGAAAGCTTGCATAAGTCATTTTCTGATGTTGTGTAGGTTGTGGGAGCTTTAAGCAGGACAGCTCAGGACTGTGTGCATGTTTCAGCTGCTGCAGACAAACTGTAGCCAAGTGGTCGTTCTTCAGTGGCTGACAGCATGCATACTGTAGCTGAAGTGGACCCAGAGGATTGGGGCCCGCTCAGTGAAAAGGATGAAAAAACAGCTAAAACTCTCTCAGAGCTCCCTCAGTTTAGTCTTCATCAAATATTAATAAGAGCACACACTCGCTCGCTCTCACTCTGTCTTGCAAGATATTCATTTAGGTATGCAAATATGTCAAAATGATTTGTGTGTCAGTTAACACAGCAGGCAGGGTGTTAGGCAGAGGGTCTGAAAAGGCCAATTAGCTACAAGGAGAATGGATCCAATCTCTTTTTATTGCTTTGACATATTTTTCAGACAGTGGAGTACAGTCACTTATAGCGTGTGTGTGTGTGTGTGTGTGTGTGTGTGTGTGTGTGTGTGTGTGTGTGTGTGTGTGTGTGTGTGTGTGTGTGTGTGTGTGTGTGTGTGTGTGTTAAATGGAAGGTGCTCTGGTAAGTGGCTGCTGCCTGCAGGTTTATATTCAGCATAAGGTCTTAAAGCGGATCATGGGATGAGTGAGGCTCTAGGCCTGAGCTTATTGAGACAATTAACACAGCTAACATATGGTCAGACATCACCCTCTCTGCTGCACACACTCTGATGCCCACACACAGTCCCTGATATCCAGTCTCAAATGTCCGTCGAGCTACACTTCCAGTGTTCATCACAATATCATATGATATCACACCACAGTGGATAACTATGGGCTCAGAACAGTCTCATAATACACACATGCACACAGAAGGATTCACACTTGTATTTCATGATCCACAAAAGGATTCACACTTGTATTTCCGGATCCACACTTGTGTTTTTCAATGCACACACAAATGTGTTCCGTTTCATATACATGTAAATAAAATCCAAATACAGAAAAAGGTTTTACATATGTATTTTTGATCCTCACATATTTGTTTTCCGTTTAAATCCCCTGAACCTAAAAACACAAACCGCTTTCTGTGCATGGATCGCTCTGCATTCGTGTGTGGGTTTTTTGAGACTCCCCTGACGGTCACCCGATTCGTACTTGTAATTTTTTCTATCTATAGCCAATCAGATGTCTCCTCAATTCTAAGCCAATCACATGAGCGCGCCCCCACGAGGGTAGATTTCTTGCGTTCATGTCACTTCATATACGCATTTTGCGCTGTCCGGAGCAGGGTTTCCGCGGACAGAATTTAATTTTACCGGACAAATTTGAAACTTACCGGTCATGTTTCAATAATAATAATAATAAGAATTGTGTAGCAGCGTTTCCGTTAGGGAATTACCGGACTATGACCGGATAATAACACGGGAGTAAGGATCATCTCTTTTCCTCTCTCCCTCCCTCTCTCCTGACAGCCCGTCAGTTTCTCATGCAGCTCGCTAAAACTTCACTCGCGTTTATGTCCATATCGATCAGATCCACCTCTCCTGATCGGCCTTTATAGAGAGCACCGATCAAACTATTAAGAGTGAATATCGGCCGATAATGACCGGCGGGGCTCCCCCCGTTGACAGTTCACTGTCTAGCACTGGCTTCGTAGTGCACTGATCGATTAGGCTAAACTAACCTGTAGCTGCTCCCTCCACACTCACAACAACTTCATACAGACATAAATAAAGCAGCTGATCGCCATACAGGAAACACACATTTAAAACAGTTTTGCCTGCCGTTTTTGTGTACACAAGCATTCATTAATGGTTCGGAAAGTGGCACTGTACCTTAATAATATAAAGGCTTGTATTTGCGTGCATTTCCTGATCGGAAAGTGGCAATGTACTGAGAGTGGAGGTGTCCTGAGATTAGCGCCTGCAGGCAGGCTCCATGGACCTGTCAGCTCCGGACAGCGCAAAATGCGTACATGAAGCGCTACGTCATGAACGCAAGAAATCTACCCTTGTGGGGGCGCGCTCATGTGATTGGCTTAGAATTGAGGAGACATCTGATTGGCTATAGATAGAAAAAATTAAAAGTACGAATCGGGTCACCGTCAGGGGAGTCTCAAAAAACCCACACACGAATGCAGAGCGATCCATGCACAGAAAGCGGTTTGTGTTTGCAGGTGCAGCGGTTTTAAACGGAAAACAAATATGTGAGGATCAAAAATACATATGTAAAACTTTTTTCTGTATTTGGATTTTATTTACATGTATATGAAACGGAACACATTTGTGTGTGCATTGACAAACACAAGTGTGGATCCGGAAATACAAGTGTGAATCCTTCTGTGTGCATGAAATACAAGTGTGAATCCTTCTGTGTGCATGTGTGTATTATGAGACTGTTCTGAGCCCATAGATAACGGGCTCAGATCCTGCTGAGGGAAAAAATAAAACCAATGGCAGACCCTCTCTGTCTGGTCTGGACTCTGCCGTGCTGGGCACACTGGCCCTGGTGTGAATGGAGGCCTTTGAACTGAGCCAAGGCCCATTGTACTGTGGAGAGGCCCCACACGCTTTAATTGATTTTACAGGTTTGGATCCAAATCCTGGACCTGGGGGCTCCAGCTGGAGCAGCTTTCAGGCTCTGCCCAGGTTTTATGTCTGTTCTTTGTAATTATTCATCACCCCCCCTGCCTCCCTCTTTCTCTTTCTTTCTTAATTAGCCTTACATTTAAAATAAAACTAAATTCATACATAATTATCACTTACTCTCAACATTCGATGTTGTTGTTAAACCAAGGTAAACTTTGTTCATCCAAACCAGCCAATAATCTCGAGGAAAATATTTGAGAGGCAGCTTTTAAAGGTGAAAGCTCATTGGTCAACAATCATCTACACTGAAATAACTGAAAAGTTGACTTTCAATGAAATGTATTATGTCAACAAATGTCACATAACTGTATTAGGTTAGTTAAAAGGAGTAATATTAAGTTGAACCTAATATTTTTTATTTAAATGTAATTGTATTGCTTTTTACAGTTATGCGAAATCTGTTCACATCATTCAATTAAAGTAAACATTTCTTTATTGACGACAATGTTTATTATCAGCCATATTAGCAGCTCTGAGCCACAACACCTGCAACATTGACGGTGACGACAGAGTATCTGAGAGCAGTTACAGTAGTCTGGCTGTAAATATTTTACAACTGCCGATTCTCCAATACGAGATATCAGAGGGAAACCGAGTGAACCTGTTTGATCCTTAAATGAGGTCCAGTCATTGGGTAATGCTTGAGAGCACAATGTCCTGTACTCCCAAAATATGTTCCATATAGTTACACATCAACAAACAAATAAACAACACTTCTGAAATCTCTTACGAGTTTTGCTTAGGAATGATAAATGTGCTGTGTCAGGTTGTTACCTGGAATGGGGATGACGGGGTTCGTCTCGTTGGGGACCACCCTGGGGGAGTCGCTGTCTTCCACATAGAAGTGGGCCGTCTGGAAACAGCGCCTGACAGGAAGAGAAAGGTTACATTTGAACAAATTCTTAATTTCCATGAGTAAAGTTTTACAAACCCCAAACTAATTCATAATCTCACTAATTCTGTTAAAAAACAGAAACAGGGTTTTGATACGATGAAAGTACTGCAAAGCATTAAACTCCACTGGATGAGTCGGTTAGCAGTCTGGACATGTGTGTCACTAATGAGAAAATAGAAGTCTTTATGTTTAAATGTATTATTATTTATATGTATATACACTGGCAGTGTAAAAGAAAAGGCTGCTGATGTGAAAACATCAAAAGTGTCCTGTTTATATAAAACAGCAGTTATTTATTTACCAAAAACACAGAAACATTACTGATGCTCTTTAAATTAACCTGTGCCTTCTTGAGACATGCTCTTGAACTAATCTGGATTTCTTTACACCTATAGAGCAATGTGTATACACTCCATTCCTATTACAAGGGGTTGACATGTAGGAATGCCAATGTTTTCGACTCAACAACTAAATGAAACTCAACTCACTGACAGTCCATGCTACCACCTGTCCTTTACGGTGTCCTTATCTACTGACAAACTGCAGTGACAACAGTTCCTCAACAACCACTCTCTCTGTGTGCGTGTGTGTGTGTGTGTGTGTGTGTGTGTGTGTGTGTGTGTGTGTGTGTGTGTGTGTGTGTGTGTGTGTGTGTGTGTGTGTGTGTGTGTGTGTGTGTGTGTGTGTGTCCAGAACCTCCCTACCTGTATTTGATACAGAGCAGAGAGCAGAAAGTGTTCATCCCGCTGAACAGAGAGGGGATGGAGGCTGCTGCATGCTGGAGCTGACATGAAATGGGGCGAAGCCTGCGAGCTAGTTCAGGCAGTCAACTCGAGCACTTATGCTGCATTCATACATAACGCCCCTTGCCACTCTACAACCAACCAAACAGAGTGTCCTTAATATGCCGCTCTATTTAACCTGCCAGATCTCTCTCCATGCATTGCTTGCTGCTGCTATTGCTGCAGCTACTTCCACGTCGCTGCTGCTTGCCTGCCCCACCACCAGTCCAGCTTCCACCCCAGCTTCCACCTGTAGGCTCGGGGGTTAGTTATCTAATCATCACTCATGGTGCTATGTATATCTATGGAGTGATGAGGCCCAAGCCTAGTCGCCAAACTCAACTATATGCTGCTTCTAATAAACATGTAAAGAAACACGTGAGTTGTCTGACTGAACTGAGAGCGAGTGAACAGAACCAAGGGACAGAGAGAGAGAAGACAGAGGGGGGGAGGGGGGGGGGGAGCACAGCTCTCCTAACTAGGCATGACGGGGGTTGTTCCCTCTCACACACACACACACACACACACACACACACACACACACACACAGAGCGGGGTTGCGGTCGAATAGTCCATTTAGCTTAGGAACCTTCCTAACGGAGTGAAATGACCCGGAAGTACTTCAGTGGCAGCCATGATAAGTGCCGTTCCAATTCTCTAAATGATAGGAAAGGAGGTTTCAAACTTCCTTTATAACCTCCTTTAGCTTAGGAACCACTGGACCTTCCTTTACGAAAGAAAAGGAGAAAATGCTGCCCCACAATGCCTTGCGGCCGCAGCATTTGCTGTCACACAACAGTCGGGCGTTCACGGAAACAACCGATTACGACCGAGAAATGATATCATGAAAGTTACGGTGCTTATTAAGCATTTTAAAACGTATGTGGTAAGTTGCCAAAAGTGCTTTGTTTTGAACGTTCATCAGTATTATACGGTGGCCGGCAGGTGCAAACGCGGAACAACGGCCAAAAACGCATACATAAGCAGGAAACAGCTGCAAATAATGAAATGAAAAACAAACAAATCCTGAAAACAAATACAACAAAAAAACGCTGCATTTACAGAAATGATGCAAACTAAATACAACACACAAACCCCGAAAACAAACGCAACAGAAAAACGCTGCAAATCAAAAACATATACAAACCCCAAAACACATACAAACCCCCAAACACACAGTGCTCCAGGCCTCTAGGGGGCGCGCTACGTGCAACAGATTGATGTCTGAGCAGACATAGAGAGAACCAAAGAGAGTGATGGAAATTGAAGCCGGAACAAAGTTGATCGAAGTGGAGAAAGTCGATATATAAGAAGGTACGTTTTGTTTTGTTTTGATACAAAGAGCGTCATATTTACGCAGCTAGCGTTAGCGTCCCTACAGTAACTACTACACCAGCTGAGGAGAGGAGAGCTTCACGTGCAGAGAAGATAAAGTGAGGGAAGAACATTGTTAAAAGAGATGACAAATGGAGTGCAGGTAAATAACACGGGCCGTAGTGAGTACCGCGGAAACATTTGAAGAGAGAGAGAGAGACATTCTTAGCAGTTTGTTTATATGTATGTATTTGTGTATAGATGTTGCAACTATACAGAGCTTTAGCAATACTATAAGTAACTATGGTCGGTGGAGAAGTGATCAAATGTGAAGAGGGACAAAGTAATGACAGGATAGTAGTTTGCATTAGACATGCTCAAGAGCAAATATAGAGAAGACATTCAAGGAGAGAGAGACACAGATTCAACGGTAAACATGATGTATCTTTCTATTTATTTAGCTAACCACTATTTAGACTATGTGTTTTTGATTGACTTGATTAAATGGATTTACTACATCAATGTATGTCTTTTCAGGCTGCCATGTTTTGTCCTTTCTGTGGCCAACATCTGGGGACAGTTCAAGTGTTCTGTGGCTCCTGTGGCAAAAATGTACAGTTTTTGGCAGAAGTTGAACAGAACAGTAAGTTCACTTTTTTTTTGTGTATCTGTTTCAAATGCAAGAAATAAGGATTCAACACACTACTCTGTTTAGAATACTAATTGGCAGATGCATACACTAGTTATCAGCATGAAGGACACATTTCTTCATTGTCTGTTTATGTGAAATATGTAGAAGCCATCATTACATTGTAGACCAATGCATTAAAAACACAAAACAGCTTATATTATACATGAATAATTATGTATTAGTTCTATCTTTATAGAGAACATTATACATTTAGAATCAGATTTTGAGACAGTGAGCGGCTGGGAAAGTCACACCGCCATGGGGCACAAACAGTTGCTATGACATGATGTTTTCTTCGCATTCTCAGGCATTCCATAAGGAGGGTCAGGAACTCACGCTTGGGACCACCAGTGTCCATCCATCCTCAGTTTGTCCCTCATCATCAGTGAACTTAACTGACGTCGAATGAGAGGAGTCGAATGAGGCACCTTTGAAGCCGCGGATTGCTCCATCCCATACATTGGCTCTATTAATATTGAACCTGCTCCAAGATGTATTTGTTATTTTTGCAGAGAGTTCTGCAACAATGTCTGCCGCAGTCAGGTATTCTGTGTTGGGAAAGACAAAGTGATATATTGTAATATTAAATGAAACTAGTAATAAGATTTACAGTATAGAATAGAAAAATCAAGTGGTAATAGTAACAATTCATACCTTTCCTCTGCAGTTTGCTCCATTTTGTCTTCTGGCTCAGACTGGCTATCAATAATGATAGGTGCATACACATTTGTGTAGTTGCTGCAGTGAGAAGACAGTTGAATATTACTTTCAAATACATCATATATGCATGACAGTCATATTTACAAAAGGATGTCGATCCTCTTCCTGTTTTTTTTTCAATACATTGGGTTCTAAACTGACAACACCAGCACTTTAGTCATACTCCTGCACAATCCTTGTAAACATTTGAAATGGATGCAAGAAACAATATCTGAAGTTTGAAAAATATTTGTGGATGTTTTTTGTATCGTCTTCACTAAGATGTAAGATGTTGTGGGTGTCATTTGGAAATGTATAAAAGTGTAATTGTTCTGCTCCTAGCCATATTACCCACTGTGATTGGAGGCTATTCAAACAAACAATTGTGAAAATAAAGATACACCCCAAACAACTGTGTCACGATGCAACTGTCAACCTCGTTTACCTAATAGAAGTGGTTCTGACCCGGGGCAGATTGGACCTCTTCCTGGAATGGGGTTGGTGCTCCATCCTATCTTTACCCAGGAAATAAGTGCAGTTGATCTAATGACAGTGTCATTAGCACACAAAGGTATTTATTGATTTCATGTTCACAAATTCAAACCTACATGGTATAATTACATTTTGAATTAGTCTTACCCGATCAGACGCTGGTTGTGGGTGCCTGAGAGGTCTGATAAAGGTAAACAAAACATATATTCAAACTAGTGTACTGTTAAAACATTCTGCTTCTTGTGGCACAACATAATATGTTGACAATGTTTTATTTTACCCTGGCAAACTGTTGTTGATTCTTCGAGTGCTCACTTTTTGAACATTTGGAATGTCCCACACCTGCATACACACAAATGACTGACTGAAATAAAATAAATTCACTTTAATTAAGAATAAATGGCACGATAAATCCAAACTGACCAAGGTACATTATATTGTTGACCGTCCTTTAACTCTTTACATTGGGGCACAATAAACCAACTCCTCTCTGCACCTATACTATATCTATATGATTTCAAGAGTTACATTTAGGTGCACAATGCTGTCTCTTGACTTGCAAGCTCTTTTACCAAACAAGCTAACACTAGCTGGGTAAATATGACGCTCTTTGTATAAAAACAAAACTTACCTTCTTATATATCGACTTTCTCCACTTCGATCAACTTTGTTTCCTCCGGCTTCAATTTCCATCACTCTCGTTCGTTCTCTCTATGTCTGGTCAGACATCAATCTGTTCCACGTAACGCGCCCCCTAGAGGCCTGGAGCATTGTGTGTTTTTAGGTTTGTATGTGTTTTTAGGTTTGTATGTGTTTTGGGGTTTGTATGTGGTTTTGACTTTGCATATCGTTTTTGTATTTGCAGCGTTTTTCTGTTGCGTTTGTTTTCGGGGTTTGTGTGTTGTATTTAGTTTGCATCATTTCTGTAAATGCAGCGTTTTTTTTGTTGTATTTGTTTTCAGGATTTGTTTGTTTTTCATTTCATTATTTGAA